TTGGTCAGCTGAGTCATCCGCCGCAGGGAGGTTGACCTTGCAGGCCGGAGTCACAGGACCAAGCCACAGTGATCGCTGCCTTGACTGCGACTTCACCCCGTATCTGTCGATCCGCGTCGTCTGCTACAGCTGTAGCGTTTAACACTTGCCGTTTCTGTCACTAGCTAAAGAACAGCTGTTTTTGTTTCAAAGCTCTTTTAGTAGACACAAACTCTGTTTCAAAACCTAGTGAGGGGGAGAGGGGGGGATTTTGAACACTCTACATTGGCATCAACATATTCCAAAGCGTTACGCTAAGCTACCAGACAATAAACATAAAACATAGCACACCATTTCTATCTATGCTATATGTAAATATTTAAAAGTCAATGTTTCTCTTGGCTCGTCCGCCATCTTTGGTTAATTTTTTCCACTGAGCTTTTCAGAATGCATTATGGTATTGCATCCTCTGCAAAGGATTCGAATTGCCTTAGAATTAGGCCATAAAAGATATCTTAAGATGAATAGCTTTTAGATGAGTCTTCACGTTGGGAATGTGCCTTAGTAGGTTTTGAAACAGACCAAATAGTTTGTGTCACTCGTTCATTCATTCTACTCAGTCCATCTTCCTCTCTCTGATGGTGATCAATTTCAAGGTGACCCTGGCTGAATTACGGTGAGTGTTTTGTGCTGCAGCCTGGACCCAGTAATTAACACCAGCGCCTAATGAAGTCCAGCTGCTCACCGCGCTGACTGAGAGGCTGCCAAAAACCAGGAGAGCCCCTGTCAGCCAGCCTCATCCTCCTCGCTCGCTCTCACTCACTTCCGAAGGTCAACCTCCCTCATCAGCACTCAGTCAGTTTATCTCTCTCTCTTTCTCCCTCCGTATCTATTCCTCCCGCAACATCTCTGTACCGAGAGGGAGGGAAAAGCACTGATCATGCATTCCTCTCATCTCATCCCTTGTTCCTTGCCAAATTCACCCGCCCGTCACATCCCTCGATCTTGATGATACCCAATAATCTTCTACCCTCACTCATTCTCTTAATCTCTTCATACGTTTTCCATCTGAAATTGTTCAACAAATTCAAGGTGAAATATCTGAATATGTTGGTGATGCTGAATAACCAGTGAGGACACAGCATGATAAAACCAAGCCAATCACAGAATTCCTTCTATATCCCAAACTTCTAGATTACTTTAAGCAAAAAAACTAAACAAAAACAAAACAAAAACATTTGTATTTATATTTATATTGATATTATATTTATATTTATATAGATTATATAAAAAGTTTTCCTTTTTTTTTTAAGCACACAGAGAGAAAAGCACAAGTTTAAACTAGGGATGGACAATATTAATATCTAGGCATCACAGCCTTACTATTTATAGTAAACAAAATAGCTATTAATTTTGAGATTTGCTAAATATTATAATCAACTATGCTATTAAATGATTACTGTTTTTACTGATTAGCTAGATTACCTTCAAGTGAGCATTAAATGATGGCAAATGTCATCTAAATGTAAAATAGTAGAAATAAACATGCAATAAAATATAACTATTCTATTATATATTGCATATATAATATTATATTTACACTAAATATATGTATCTAGTATTTTATTTACAATGTGTTGTTGTACATGTATGTTTTATTATGTAATATATGTATTGCATAATGTAATATACTTTTCATTCTCTAATATATGATATGGTAACAATAATTGTGCATCCTATGTTTAAACTTTTAAAATGTAACAGAACAACTTTCCTCAATAAATCACATTATTTGAGGTTACAGTCTGTATTCCAAACAAGCTGGGAAAAGTTGCAAGTTCAAGTTTAAAACTTATGAACAATATACCACTAGTTAATGAAATGAATGCTCTAAACAATCCAGATGTAACTCAAAGCGAGAAACATAAACACAGAATGCCTGTGAACACAGAGTTATACATACAACAAAACAAGGAGACAGACAAACAGCAGAAGCATGTTAGAGGCATACCCACAGGGTAAAAGTGAAGATTTAGAGAGAATCCTAAAAGAAACCTAACGGGATAGGCCTATCTTAGATCTACCATGTCCCACACCTTCTGTTTTTTTTTTATCTGCAAGTCACACCTCTGAGTTCCCTTCTGGATTCATCCTTCCTGCCTTCCATCTCCTCTCCCACTCTGACTCCTATTCCGGATCAAAGCCAAGATTCCTGTCATACAGGCACCTCTCACCGCTCCTCAGAGAGCGGCCTTTGAAGAGTCCGACCCCAGGTGGCCCCTTCTCCCACACACGGGCTCGAGCGCACGCACATACACTGAGGGGCCTCCACCCGCCTCTCTGGGACCTCCGCCTCAGCC